GTATTTCTGAGACGCAGGATCCAAGTCGGAGGATACGAGGCTCCGTCTGCTTTTTTGTGTGTCGCTCTGTCTCGCTTTTTGTTCTGTGTGCAAAGAAAGAAAGAAAAGGTTGTGAATGGAAAGGCTATTAACATCCTCATCAAATATAGTTTGGCCATTTGGCTTTCTTGAAGCATCTAAATTTCTAAAACGAAATCTGTATCTTCTCAACTTCAGTTTATGATGGATCTGCCTCATTTTGTGTTTTTTCACATTTTGTTCAATATATTCTTATTGCGCTTTCAATTTACTTATTCAGACTAAAATCAATTTGATCATACAGCTGATCAATGAAATTCTTGTCAGTAAGAACGAAATTTTTGTTCGCCGAATTTCGGTACCACAATTTACCTCCAGTGGAACGTGCCTTTCCGAGCAATTGCTAGTTGCTCCCAAAGACGAATGATTATAGCTAATGATGTTATGCCGAGTTAAAATGATTCAACGGGGAAACCTAAAATTTCAAGTATTCTGTGCACTTCATCAGTTGTTGATTATTATTTCTTATTTGAACGCAAAATCTAAAGTTTATTTGCTCATTTAATCCTATGCTCATTTCTTTCATACACTGTACCGAAGTGCCAATTTAATAGTACGATGGTTTCCTTCCCGCAGGCAATCCTTGTTGCGTTGGCGGGCTTGGTGGCAGCAACACCTGAAGCGGATCCCAAGACCAGCGGTCACCATCACGGTTACTTCCCCGTCTACGCCCACCACACCTACTGCGACGCGACGGTGGCCCCGACCTGCGCCCAGAACTCCACCCTGAGCTACTGCCTCGATGATGAAGAGTACCCCCAGTACGAGATCAAGGCCTACGTTCACGCCGACATCGTTTTCCTGAAGAAGTACGCCGACGTCCCCTCCCAATCCGCCGACGACCTGGTGGACGGGATCACCAAGGAGCAGGAGGAGGGCTTCGACTACTCCTACTACACAGGCGCTTCCACGGGCGACTCCCCTTACGATCTGACACACTGGTCAGGTCCTGAAGGCTATCTCTGTCCCTCCGACGTAGTATACGCCATGCCCAAGCGTGCTCGTAACGTCGAGGGGAAGTGGCGTGTGATTGTCAACGACGTGCATTACTACACCCAGACTGCACGGCTTGAGACCTGCCTGTTTCCCGGAGCCGCGTGCCGTGCCCTCGCCCCGTGCTTCAGCAGCACTTGCACCCAGAAGTACATCTACCACCGCCTCCTTTCATGGGATCCCTGTGACCCATACAAGGGCCTCTTCATTGACGCTTACAAGCTGCCCGCCGCCTGCTCGTGCCATGTGCCCACTCTCTAAGGCCCCTCTCGTACCTCTTCATGGTGAGTTGTAAAGGATTCTCAAGCATATTTGTCTCAGACTCCGAATTATGATACTGAAGCCTAGTTGCTTATTGACAGGGAAACACTGGTAAAATTAGAACATTTACTAATATTCTTATCAAATTTACTGTCTGAAGAATACTTGAAAGTCCCAGAAACAGCTGACCACATGCTCACAAAGTGGAAAAAAATGAGTGTTGCTAGTTGTAAAATGGCTGCCTGATTTTGACAATATCTTTATATTTTTTATACTATACTAAGTTTCCATGTCTCCTCAAAATCTATCCACAACGTTCGTGCTGAGACGACTCCTGATTTAACCAAAGATACAGAGGATTGCTTTCTTTTATTCTGCCACCAATGTGTGACATCACACGGAGTCGTCTTAACACGGTCTTTAAGTTTGCCCCTTCTTTCCCACGACGCTTTCACTGATGGATAAAATATTGTGACGTCAAGAGCCAATGTATTACATTACATTTTCAAAGTTCATTGCTTATGTTAAAGAAAAATCAAAGTTTATAAAGATCTTTAAAATTACCTTACATCATTTATTCCCAGACTGTTGCTCTGTTGTTCTCATTGCCTTACAATTGTTTGATAAATGTATTGTGTCACTATGAAAAAAAAACGGTTTTTCAGAAAAGAAATATTCATATGAGAGCGAGTTGATGAATACTCTGTATATAAGTTTGAGTTTTATTAAGAGAAATAATAAAGATATTAAACTTCTTTACTGGTTTATTCTTTCCAACATTCCAGATAATTTAATGATGGTTAAGATATTCTGATTACAAAAGTGTAAAATATAAATCGAATGAGCTGAAGGCTTCACCAATACCCATTCTTTCTGTTATTGATAGTAGTAATGTGCAATAAAGTTCATGTCATTTATCTATAATTAGTCTATAATTTCATAAATATAAGTTGTTGATATGATACTGGCCTGTCTTTTCATTTTAAAAGTGTTTGTCCATTACAGCCAACGGAAATTACTTGTGGACAAGGGACGATAGAAAGAGAAGAACTACAATAAATAATTTGAACAAATGCAGGAATGAGAATGAACAATTCAACTGTTCTCATTCTTACCTTTTCTACGCAGAGGAAAAACTCCAAAGGATGTTCATGCTCAGCAAAATACT